CGTGTCATTCTGAGAGGTTGGTTGAGCATTGCCTAGCGTGGCCTCCAAATCTAAGGCTTTCCTAGACAGTGTCTCAAACGAATGGTACTCAGTGCGTGCCTCGCTGGCCAGCAAGTTCCTGATGTTCTCTGGTAAACATCTAACAAACGTAGTTAATAGGAACTGGTCACTGTAGTTGATGCCTGGGACGAGGATCAGGCTCTCAACGGTAGTCGTAAGCTCTCTGACTGACTTAAATTTCCGTTGGTCTAACTTGTTAATCGCATCAGTGGCCCTTTGTGCCTCCTGTGGATTATGCCATCGAGCTTCTACCATTTCCATGAACTGGTCTATCGTAAGAGACTTAGCCCAGTCCGCCATGCGTCGCCCGTACTCGGCCTTTATCACTACACCATCTAACCATTTGGCTGCCTTACCTTCGAGGTAGGATGCAGCGGTAACCACTTCGTCCTCCTGCAAGGTCCTCTTGGCCTTTACCCAAACCGGAACTGACCTCAACCAAGTGTTGAGCTCTTCGTCCTTTCTCTCGCCTGAGAAGGCAAGAGGCGGTTTCATTGGGGTCTTAGGATACCATTGACCCTGCGGCTGTCCAGATTGTTGAACAGGTTGTTGCGGTGGTGTAGCTACCACCGCTGGACCCGAAGAAGAAGATGCAACAGTCTGTGCGACTGCTGCAGACGTACCACTTGGTTGTGTACCAGCTTGAACTGGAAAGGGGCCTGACATGGCCGATAACGGCAACGGCGATTGTGATGGTGGCGTAAATCCTGGCCTGGTCAAAACGTCCAGGATCTGGTCCAAAGTGTTCTGCATGAAGTCCAACCTGCTGTCCACGTGCGCAATCAGCGACAACATGTTGTTCCTCAACACTTTCATGGGCTCATTCATTCCAGAGTCATCCAAGCCCTCTGACTCAGCTTTGTCAGCCTCTAATGTATCAAGCCTGACTGTTCTATTTTTAATTTCTCTTTCTCTATCGGTAGCTTGTTTCAGTTCCCTCTCTAATCTTTCACGAATCCTTTCGACCTGTTGGAGCTTCCTGAGCTCCCTTTCGCGAGGAGTCAACGGGCTGAACTGCGAGCCCGCCATTTGACTTGTAGACTGACGAGAACCTAAGGAACTGAAAGTACCCGTGGACCTTGTTGGCATTCCCAACTGGGTCCCATTGGTCCCAGACAAAGCCGCAGAGGATGCTGCTGAGCTACTCATGGCTGCTGCCCTAGCTGCTGCTGCAGCCTGTTCCCTAGCTGCGGCGTTCGCTGTTTCCCTAGCTGCTGCTAGTGCACGGGCTCTGCGTTCGGCACGAAGCCGTCCTTCTTCTCCTGGTTCTAAGGCCTGGAACACGTGCGGGATCCTAAGTGATCTAGCACGTGTGAGTCTGGCATCGTCAACTCTCTCCTCATCGACGTCTGATCCGCTCATGAGTTAGGCAAACATTATCTGCACTAGAATCCCCTAGTGGAATCCTACCACAGCTTGTGTCTAACCGGCACCTAATTTTCTAAAAATAGTTGTGTCCGGCAGGTCCCCTACTGTACCGATCAAGTGGCATGTCTACAACATTCACAACAGATTGTCTACATAGTCTAGATGTACTCTGATTGGTTCACTTACAGCAGCATTAGAAAGAACTGGCTATGGTAGCATACAACAGTCCTAATCTAATTCTGTTTGTGAGGTGTTTAGCAGTCTGTCCACCAACTAATCAAAAGTACAAAAAGACCATGTTGCAGATGTATGATGAGTGGGTATGGTTGTGTATTCAGTTGAGCACCAATTAGAACCTACCCTCCCCTCAATCCAACGTACCGAACAGCATCAATGAGCAGGCAGTGTCTTCATGTGTATTTCGGCCCACCCCTGTGCCCAAGTTGTCGCCGAGCAAGCCAGCCAGTCCACTCTTATTTACCCTCGTACGGAAACGAGCCTTACACCCGGTTGATCTGGCTGATCAGGAGGAATTTATAGAGCGCCCCCATCTCTTCAGGAATTTTTTAACGTCGCAGTCAGGATGACGATCACAGCCAGAATCAAACCGAGTCCCCAACCAGAAATGTTTATAGACGGTCTGGTAAGCGTCTCTAAAAGTCTGGCACACCCGGCGGAACTTCTATTTGGCGCAGCAAGTGCCTTAATGGACAGCAGCCATTGCATGTGTGACCTACTCCCATTGGGTTGGCATGGTGACCGTGACCCAGTGCTTCGACCAGGGCCCTTCAGAGGCACCGCCCTTTCTCCTTCCAGATGCTTCCGGGAAGATTGTCGTCTCTCATGGTAGCGCGCTCACGACACCTCACCAAAAGAGAGGACTCTCAAGTTGGACTCACTTCCTCACGGTAAGAAGAGATTGAGAGAGTAGATAAGGTAAGGGAACAACRTACCTGGAGATAGCTGCCCCCAACCACAGATTTCTCACCAATTGAGCTGAGTGTGCATTTGATGACCGGTCTTGGCCTCGGTACCACTCACAACGTAATGAAGTGCCACCTCAGCCGAATGCCACATCAGCATGCTCTCATCACCAATCATACATTCCGCATGTCACCACGGCATACACTGCCGTCTTAGCCTTCCGGCGCACCCCTCTCTACCCAGGGCGTGCGCCTATATATGGCCTGACGTCACAAGTACCAACTGCGAAGAAGCATCGTCAACGCACCAAGTCTGTATAACGCCAGCGTGCCAGAGGTAAGTGGCGATCAAATCAGCTCCGATACCAAATTGCAAGGAACATGAATATGGACGAAGCACAGAAATCCAGAATGCAAAATCACACTGAAGTCCAAGTAATCAAAGCCAAAGCAGATAGCACAATGGAACCGAGTAACCATCCAATTGAGAATGATACAGAAGAATCGTGAGTCAATGTCCATGCCCAACAGGGCAACACCAACAGCATAACCCAATGTAGCTCTCTCTTATGAATGGCGCCAGGCGCCCTATCTACTCTACAGACTAAGCCTACAACTACAGCAATGAAAGCAACCAGACAACTTGACTACCAGCGAGTGATGATGTCAACACCAATG